AAGATGTACTTGAAACTTATTTCACAATGGACTGGCTAATATTTTAGTAAACGCGGTTTTAATTGGGGAGGGAAAGGAAAATTTGACATACAGTGTTTATGGAGAGCCTGTAAAGAATTTTTTTTTCTTTTGATTATAAACGCGAGTGTTCACAACAATCCTTTCTTTTATGAATATCTCCCCCATCTCCTCTTTTATCATGATTTGCCATTAACTTGACTGTAGGTTATTTAAAAATAAAACCCTACAACTTGCAGTTCACTTCGTTTGTGTTTTCTTTTTAGTGTGTGTGTTTGTCGGTCTGGTGTATACCATATACAAGCGCGTTCTCTTTTTTAAATGGGGTAATATTGAAGTCTATGTACTGAAGACATGCCCCATAATCCAGATGTTGCCCATTCATTACACTGGGTAAAGGCAACATCTGTGGAATAATGGAGTTCTGGTCAGGAACTGCAGTTCAGTCGTCCTGATACAGCATCAACTATTTTAAGAGTGCTTTAATTGAGTATGGTCCCTTTTACATGGGGGGTCCGCCTGTCAGGGTTTTTAGGTGGACTTGATCGGATGCATGTGAACACACACACACACAGGCCATTGCCCCGGGAGATTCCATCTCCAGCACACACATTGATCACTGCCCTGTGAGAGCCCACCTCCAGCACAAACACACATTGGTCCATGCCCCCTGAGATTCCACTCCCGTACACCCATTGCCCCGTGAGATCCCACCTCCAGCACACACACATTGGTCTTTGCCCTGTGAGATCCCACCTCCAGCACACACACATTGGGGCTTTTTCCCCCCTGTGAGATCCCACCTCCAGCACACACACACACACACACATTGGTCTTTGCCCCCTGAGATCCTACCTACAGCACACGCATTGGTCTTTGCCCCCTGAGATCCTACCTACAGCACACGCATTGGTCTTTGCCCCGTGAGATCCCACCTCCTACGCACACACATATTGGTCGTTGCCCCGTGAGGTCACACCTACAGCCCACTCTAGTTACTCCTGCAAAGACTCCTTGGTTTGCAATCACATATTCCATCATTGGTCTTTGCCCCCTGAGATCCTACCTACAGCACACGCATTGGTCTTTGCCCCCTGAGATCCTACCTACAGCACACGCATTGGTCTTTGCCCCCTGAGATCCTACCTACAGCACACGCATTGGTCTTTGCCCCGTGAGATCCCACCTCCTACGCACACACATATTGGTCGTTGCCCCGTGAGGTCACACCTACAGCCCACTCTAGTTACTCCTGCAAAGACTCCTTGGTTTGCAATCACATATTCCACTTGTGAAAGGGGCTGATTTGGTGAGTCACGAATTGCTCTGTGAGACTAATGAAACCGGCTGTGGCGGGAAGCAAGACACCAAAGCAATTACTGCTCCCGTGACCATTCGACATCTAATTGGGCATGCTGCGATAACCTGTGGACGATTTGCCCCTGGACAGAAACGGGGAGCAATCGTCCGCAGGTAATCACAGAATGTCCAATTACATGCGAACGGCTATGGATGCTGCCAACTGTCATTGCTTTGTATGTGAATGAGGTCCAAGTGCTCAGCGCCATCTAAGGCACATTAAGCCCCCAGTGCCCATTACTCTGCATATGTGCTAACCCCTCAACATCCAGTATTTTTGTGTCTGATCTCCCCAGTGCTCCGTCCCAAGCATGTATGATAACTTCTCTGCACCCAGTACCCAGCTCATGTTAAGTAGGTTAATCTTTCAGCACTCGGTACCCAATGTATATGCTTGGGACACAGCCCCAAAAGAGTCTATGGGGCTGTAATGCACATGATATGTAGGTATGCATCTGTGGTGGGGAGACACTTATTATTTAACTCTTGGCTATTCTTTGGTTTATGTGCATTAATCTTTTGTTATTACCCAGCGCATGTGCATTTACCCCTCAACGGCCAGTCTCTAGCACATGTGCATTAACTTCTCATGACCTAGTCTCCACCGCATGTATGATAATTTCTCACATTTATTCAGTGCACCACGCCAAATATCAGTCCCCTTTTCCCTGACTGGTTCAGTGGGAATCTCAGCCCCACTCCCCCATTTTCTGTTTGAACAATACAAAGCCCTGTCCTGTTTTTACATCCGCAGTACTACCTCCACTGGTACTAGATTCTATAACAGAGTCACTGCTAATAACCTGAAGCTTTGGTGTCTCCATTTCAGCCTCCATTGTCCCTAATTTCACTGACACGCTCCTGGTTCATTAGTGCTGCTGACACAATCCTGGCCACCTGCACTGACCCAGAATAATTGATTTTGACCTGTATTCTCTTTTGTAAAACTGTGTGTGACTAGGTTAGCTCCCACACTGCTACTTTATAATTACTCTGATTCATAAATGGGTGCCAAATGCATTATTGGGCACATTTTGAACCGAAAGATTTTGCTGTTCTGCCAGCTGTCAAATCCATAAACTGATTTGAAAAGGAAATGACCTAGATCAAGGCACAGGATGCCAACACCCCTGAAAGTGGTATATCAAAAAAAATCAGGAAAGTTGGGGGTTTTTAGGCAGCCGACTGACAAACATTTGGGTGGAGCTAGCAGTGACATTGGCTTTCCATATCTACTGGTTTGCCCCTGATAGCGGTGCAGTCCGAGCAGTGGAGTCCACCTGTTGGAGATGGAGACCATTGTTCAGAGTGCACCGCAGCCCCCAACACAGCCGACTCAGCGGAGAAAAAACTCACTTTTTATCCATGGCTCACTGGTTACAACAGTTGGGGCGGAGCTAGCTGTCACTGCTAGCTCCACCCAAATGTTTGTTACCGGCATCTATCAAAATGCCATTCTGCGGCGGGTGTTCGTCGCGAGTGATTGTGGTGGTGGTTGGGGTTGTTTTTTTGTTTTGGTTTTTTTATTCTGTTTTATTTTTTATGTTGTCGTGGACAACAACGCTGGACCTTGTGATTGACGCTGGATTATGTTGGGGGATCTATTTTTGGGGGGTTTTTGTTTTTAAATAAGACTTGTCAAAAACATGTCTTTTTGGGTTGTTTTTTTTTCCTCCAAATAAAGGATTTTTTCAAAAGTGTGGCCTCTTTTGTAAAACTTTAATTTAACACTTTAGTGAATGGATAGGGGTACAAGTACCCCTTATGCATTCGCAAGGTGACTGCATCTGGGTCCCCCCCATTTTCTGGTCCTGCCAGGCCTATGCTTGGATCAAGGGTCTGGTATGGAATTTTAGGGTGGACCCCATGTTTTTCCCCTATTTTGGGGGGAGAGCCCCATGCTTTTTAATTTTTATTTAAAATGGGGTCCCTCCTAACATTCCTACCAGACCTAAAGGGTCTGGTATTGTTTGTGAGGGGGAACTGCACAATTTAAATAATAAATAAATAAATAGACTTGCATTGAGTTAGAGTTCGAATTCGAACTTCTGTCATGTTATAAAGTTTGAATTCAAACTGAACAGGAGGGGTGTTCGGCCCATCACTATTGATCACCTCCTCCCTAAATTGGTCCTTGTATGTATGTATGTGAGCTAGGGACCTAGATTGTAAGCTCCTTGATGGCAGGGACTGATGTGAATGTGCAGTTATGTAAAGTGCTATGTAAATTGCCAGTGCTATATAAATACCTGTAATAAATAATAATACAACTATTATCCAAATGGCCAGATGAATTCCCCAATCAAAGAGGAGGAAAAAGTGTTGTTATGTGAATGTGTATAAATCCACCACAAGATGGCACTAAATAAAAAGCAATAAAACACATAAATGCAAAGTACCGGAAGTTACCAATTAAAGAAAAAAAACAATGAATAAAGGATGGTATTGATTTTAAAATATTCATCGAAAACCACTGAAATACAATGTGTGAAAAGTAAACTCAGACTGTTTACTTTGCTAAAGCATTGTATATAATAAACAATTGCCAGTTTGTTGTATTAAATAAAAGACTTGTTTTCATATTTGTCATCCTTCTGCATCCACTTCTTGTCTACAGTCACTCCAGCGATGGCTGCATATCATTTCTTAGGGCGTGTTTCCTGATGTTAACAACAGTGGACCATGACTGCATATTATATGCTGAACCAATTACTTGATTTACTAAAGGCAAATAGGCTGCTCACATTGAAAGGCAACTTTCCTTAGAATAGTGAATGAGGTGAATCTCTGCTGACTTCCATCATCCAATCACATGCATGCAAAAATACAACTTTAAAAAAAAATTATTTTCCTTGCACATGATTGGGTATTCTTTGCAAAGTGAATTTTTACCACATTTACTAACCTAAGGGAAAATTCCCATGCAAAGTGAACAGCCTATTTGTCTTTAGTAAATTCACCCTTATTTTCTCAATAGGAAGCATGTATAACAGGGTGATAATGGAGTACAGGGACAGAATATCGTTACCCTATAAAAAGAAGAATCTGAGCAAGGACCTTCGTGGCAAAAGGGTCGCC